AAACCAACCCCGATTGTCTTGACCTAAATTTGAGCCCAACTTGAACGGTACTAAGTCGTAACCACTAACGTCCTGTAGTTGACTTACTGGGAGTGTAACACACCGCAAGTGGAAAGACCATGTCACCCACCTTGATCACAACCCAAAGATTCACAAAATGCGCCTTTTTTTGATCAGGCACCGAGGATTCATGGGGTACTGTTAGTGCCCCAGCACAAGTGTTATAAAACAAGTTACCATACACCTTTTAACTGCGTTCACCAAACTGCATGCAGTGCACGCGTGAGCATGGTTCTAGGCGCGGCGCACATGCACCCTCGCATTCGACTACATGCACTGTCGTCCGAAGCACAAAAACTATGGCCGTATTCTTCATCTTCATCTGACTGTCATGTGTGGGTGCTTCCTGTTATCAACCGATTAGATTGTCCCCGCTCTATCAAGACAGGCAGTACTACCCGTTTGTTCGACCAGCATATGCGATACGAAGCATTGCGAAGCAACAGACCGGTAAACATTATTCGCTCGTGCGCTAACAGAGCTATGAGATTCGGACCACGGTGTGTGTCCGTATGCACACATGTACGTGTACGCGCGCACCAAGAGAATTCTGGCCGATGGCCTGCTTCCGTTTATGACTGCTGGCTCGCGTCGGATACTTTTTCGACTTTTGCGTCAAGAGGCCGATCCAGTCTGCAATTTCAAATTGCACAGGCAAGTGCCGGTCCACTGGCTCGCTAATAAATGTGTGTGCATGCGTGCGTGCGTTCGAGCAACGAGCGAACGAACGAGCACGCGCCTGTGCGCACTCACTTAGATGGCCGTATCGGATGTCTATCGAACGAGGTCGACGATACACATCTGGTCCACCTTGTTTATATCATGGACTTGTAAAGTTTCTGCGAGTTTGTGCTGTACACACGCAATGCCAAAACGGATATGCCTGTGTGCATGTGGTGTTCTTACGTCTACCCGCCCACGCAAACTGGTATCCTTGATGCAACCGATGGTCGGGTGTTGCAGACTACTAAGGAAGCAAAGTACCAAGGAGCCCATCCGAATATCTGTCATGTCTCAGGTGTCAATCGGAGATGCTTCTCTTAGATCCTTCGTTTATTTCGTGACAGTCAATGGGGTCTACTATACTAGATGAGAGACAAGCACTTACATGATTCAGTGAGATGGATGGTCCTTCTGACCCTCATGTGTGGACTCGGCGATGTCGTTGGACGTCAGTCGTTTCAAAGCGGTAATCGTGCGATGTCACTGACCTGGTGACGGTATGTCTACAAGTGTAAAGAAATAATGACCTGGGTTCCTCAACCACACTATCTTGTACTACTTGAATATACGGCACCAGCTTAACACCACAGTTAGTTGAAGGGTCATTGTAACCTACTCGATATGTGATACGATTGGGACGCGCAATCGCAAGGTGGACAGTGATTCTCATTGAACCGAACCTTGGCAAATTCGATCACTAGGACCGTAGCTGATGCATATAGAAATTATGTGTTGCCTGCTCGAGAACGCTGCACTCTACTACGCGTTTTCACCTTATTTGATCTTATCAGGTAGAGATGGTGGGGCTGGAACCCGTGCCCATTGGGTTGTTAGTTGGGCTCCCTACCCCTAAGCCACCTGCTTCATCAGTTACGGCTCCAGTGATTGTATTGGTCAACGTCCGCTAGAGGTTAGAGCTCACAACCAACATCCCAATGTTCCCGGTTCGAGGCCTGCTATCTCTACCTGATAAGATCAAACAAGGTCGAAACGTGCATTGGAGTGCAGTATTTTCTGGCGGACGACAAAATTACCACAACTGGGTTACATATATTCTGGTGATTTAATACGCACTTCGCCTTTCGGACATCATTCCGGAATGAGGCCTCAAAATCGGTCAATCGCCACTACTAACGCCGGCTTTATCATTGTTGCATTTGATGATGGGGCGCACAGTTTCTTGTTGAGGCTAAGATGAAAGGATTTTACCTTTCTTGACCGCTCTGCAACTGATCTGCCGTCTAACCAATTAGTAACCTGCCCACTTTTCACTCCCAAAATCGGAGCAGTAAGTGGTCACATAGCCACAATTTAGGATAAGTCAACTAGCTACAAAGCAAACGCATTCCTTACTTTGATTAGTTGCAGCAACCCAGTCATGGGAGATATTATTGTTGTAGGCGTTAGGGCTAGCTACAATTGATAGTGTATTCCACTCGCCTGCCTTCGTTTATTCTTCTCATTGGAGTTGCCTTGAGTACGGGTTGTGTGATGGAATTGTGCATGTTGTAGCACTAGCCGTCTGTTATTCCTCAATAAGCGTCGTACCCCCCGCCGTGACTGACGCTGAACTATACTCCTTTACCTGCATGCGCACTGACACCACTTTTGCTATTCGCCTGTCACGCACAACATGGTCCCCGGTTCCAACGCTGGGATGTTTTCTGATGAACCGGGATATCGTCACCAACGACAGTACAAAGTAAAGCATTAATATGACGACTCCCTTGGAGAATTCTCAGAACAGTGAATGGCTATCACATAGTGTAGGTAATTTCAAACATGACCGTTAGCGATGCAATTCAAGATAAATGTTGCTAATGTCTGTCAATGCTGTTAGTTTCTATTCTATAAAGTTTTATCTCCGAAGGAACACCGGTTTAGGAAAGATGGAGGTGCGACTGCAATACGGGGCGTAGTGATATCTGGTAGACACCTTCATTATTAGGCCACTTACTTTTTTATTTATGGGGAACACGGTATGTGTTTAGATTGCATACTGCCTTTTCCAACCACTATTTTACGTCTTATCTTCTCATCTCAGTAGTGACGATCGCTCCTCCAAAATCGACGTGTAACGCTGCACAATAACGTTAGAAATGGCTATGTTATCCACGTGCGTCGCAGATACTCGAAGCATTCGTCGACTGATCGCCGAATGCCCCTCCACCAAACGATGGTATTGCGCTGAGTCCTGCGTGTACAACAGGCTGCGAAGTATGTGACACAACACACTTCCCCTCCGCCGAAATACAACGACGATGCGCGCAACGCCGATACGTATGTCGCTTGAAATATGCACGCGGCAGAAGACCATGTCAGCATTGGAGAAAGCATTGCGAAACGCGTTCACCTGAGCTAAACGGTTGTCAGTCACAAGCGTACACAATCTGGAAGGGGTTGGCACCATGTCATGCATCGCATGCACCGTTTGCTGGTGGGTTATCTTCGTCTCATTGGGCTGAAGGGTGTGGAAACAAGAATGTCCAGCCCACTCACGTCACAAACAAGCAATGCCACAGGACGTATCCGCCGTAATTAATCTGATGCGTTGGGTCCGCTAAGTTACCCCGTATCGGTCCACCAATTAAAGCATGCGGGAAGGGACGAAAAAGAGGAAACGGATGTCCACCTTTTCGCGTGAAATTTTGCGTACACCATGTCTTTCTGTAGGTTTCGTCACCTCCGCCCTACTTGCTTTCCGATGACACCACCATATGTCAAACAAGTCTTGCCATGTCAGCCGAATGCCATATTGCCACTATTACGTCCTATGTTCTCACGGTAGCGGCCATCTTTCCTTCGAAATTACAAGCAGTTACGGAATCGGACATAGAGCACTCATCGTCATGAATCATCAATCACTTGATTTAATCCTAGACTTGTTCAACTTGAGGTTGCTCAGTCAAGCATTAATCAACGTCAAGACTGGCCAGATTTTTTCGATTTCAGAAAAATTCGTCCATGTTACTTAATTCTTGCCTACTCAGGCCTTTTTTATTTTGGCCCCGTACACAGGATTTCCATTTAACTTTTAATTCCCTGTCTTTGGTTCAGGGAGGTTTGCCAATGTCAGGGGCATTATTCGAATGCATTCGAAGATGCCCCAATTGACTGAGTGGAAGAATAGTCATGTTGCTGTCATCTATTTTCAACTAATCCGGTAGTTGATTGTTGGGTTTTGTAGTATCCGTATTTGCGATACACAATGTCGATTGACGTTAAAGTTTGCTTTGAAACAAACCTATGCCATTTCCATCACTGGGACCGCACCTGAAGTGAAGAGTTTCGGAGCTGCTCTCTCCCAACTCTGCACTCCATGACCGACCGGCTTCGTGCTGATTTGAACTCCTCAGGTGGAGACAGCTTGAGCCTAGAGAGGAGCGCGATACACTGGTTGACGACTTTCGTTTTCGTCACAAAGCCAGAGCTCCATACGTCGTGCGAATGCAACAACTTTATTGGATCTGGGTTCGGCCCCGTTGCCGGGTTCTTATCAGTCAGCAGCAATAATTAACCGCTTCTTGTTGTGAAAGCTTTAAGTCCACTCACACGTTCTACGCTGCGGCAGAACTCGTCTTTTGGTGAAACATCTGGTGGACACTGTTTTGTTCACAATCAGATCTTTTGCTTCAGTGACGTTTCTTCAGGTGTGAACGGAGCCATAGGTAGCTAAACAGCCAAACAGCTAACCATCTAAACTGCGCAGTAGGCTATAAACTCTTCACAGTCGCATTAAGCCTAATGAGACAGTGGTTGAAATCATGTGAACACCCACGAACGGTGGAGCGATATACGCATTTGTTAACCAGATAGCTGACCTCATCACGACGATCACAGTTAGAGCAATTCGGGCGCCAATATGTTGATTGGATCGTTTGCCTACAAAACAACTGCATGTCGTAATGTCGCTTGTTCAAGGCAATCCTCAACCAATCCAGTTGGTTTTGTGCGAACGCTGCCAGAGGATATTCTTATCACGGTCACGTTGCGACTGTAATTACCGGTTCTCTATACTATCCTCTCATGAGTAAGCTTGCTAGTGCGGCTGCAGTGCAACTTTGTTTCTGCATGCAACACAAGGTCACTACTTAATCCTAGCTACACATCACCGTTACACTGCAGAGTGCATAGTATTGAGTGCTTTTTAATTAGCAGCGGTATTGCTTCTACGCATGCTAACGTGTACTCTCTTCCTATTACCTTTCTCATTACAGCAATTTCAATATTTATACTAAAGTGAGTTGTCGTGTTCGTATAATCATTTTCGCTGGCACATCGATTACCGACTATAAATTTGCAAACGAAGTCGGAAGACCATGAATGTTGAATCTACAGAACACATCAATCATTTACCATTGCCATTTTGTTCGAAACTACATGTATTTTACGATTCCATTACTACTCACTTGACTACATGATTATTGGATGTTAGTTAATCAAGATTAACGGGAATGGTCTAATTGAATTTCACAAGCCGATGAGGATTTCATCTCATTTATCAGTTTATCGCTTCATTTTACTACCTCAACTCCGTGCACCTGATGTTCGAGGATTTAAGCACCTATACTACACTTGACGTTTATCCTTCAGTGAACTGTTTATTCGACACTAAAACCATGCGGATATCGATTGGGTTTCAACCGGCCTGTGATAACAACTTCCATCTCGGAATCCATGCGGCGGCGATTGGGAGGCACCCAGCCATATTGACGGAACTTAACGTATGGAGGCCCTCGTTGAATTGGCCACCACTTTCGCACTTGTTACTGTGCTGTTGACTAGCAACCGCAGAACGCGTGTGTGTCCTTGAGATTTGCGTTGTGTCACAGATATCGTGAGTTATCAGGCCGATCGAATTTTGTAATCACCGTCGATGAATGGGTAATACTGTTTGCTATGTGCTTATGGCCACTACACCTCGTATCAAAAATGGGATCACCTTTCTCTACGCCTTTCTCCTGATCAACAGTATCTACCTTACCGCAAGTTCCAAACTGTTGTCTGCGTGACAGATCTCATGTAGCGAAAAACTTTCCTCACTGACTCGCAGGGTCAGGTCAATATTCAAAACAGATTAGCTTAACTGTGTGCTCCCCAATGGGTTTGTTGCAAATTTGCATGCTGTTCGGATCTCAAGAAACGGTTCCCTAACACAAATGTCGAGTGTCACTCTTTGTTGCGTTAGATAGTAGGGGAGCCACACAATCCCCGTTCCGTTCCACCTAATTACTGACCGGTTTCCGATGTGCATAAGCAGAAAACAGTTGCTGCCTTACATGTCTCCACTTGCCGGTCAAAGGGTCACATTAACTCTTGTTTATTTCCTTCGCTGCCAACGGAAACAACTATAGTTGGATTAACCAATGCCAGATCACTGAGGGTACCAGTTTTTCTAGAGGCTATATGTTGTCACTTCGGATCGTTCGGTTAAGACACATGCCGAACACACTGCCAGCGGGCTTTGCAAGTTCGCCTCACCTCAATGGGGCTATAATGTGTGTTTTAGTAGTCCAGTCATCACAGCACTATTTGAAGTTAGGGTATGATGTAAATGTTCACTTTCCGTAGTTCTATTCTGAGATCATTTTTATCGATCAGATTCCCTAGATACTGGAGTGCATCGACATATCTTCATAAGGACCTCCACCCTAACAACTTTTCCTGATATGCGTGCTAGGTGACAATATATATATATATATATATATATATATATATATATATATATATATATATATACATATATATATATATATACATATATCCCAAGCGGCAACCTCTTAGTTGAAGAATCCCCTGTCCTGTAGCTCATCTGATCATTCATCCTACTGAGGCATCATTCAAAGAATCGGAAGGTGTTCTTTCTCTTGTAAACAAGAGTTGATTCCACAAGTTCACGAATTCCGCTGTGAATTGTGACAGTTGCAAACCTACAGAGATGATATCCTTCCCACATTTCAGCTTAATATTTACGGGTAAGGCAACACAGCCGTTTCTGTAATAAACTTGATGACCGGATTATTATCAGATCGATGTTTGTGGCCTTAACGAGCGTTTCCTTTGGTATGCTCACCGTCAAGGTCAAATAAAGTACGTTCCGTTTAGATAATCTAATAAATTGTACCTGGTGTAGGTCAAAATAGTTTCTTCATCCCTTTTTGAAAAGAACGTGCCACATTCTCCCGGGACATGCTTCCTTCCCATTCCAGCATAAGCCTTGTTGTGTTTAACCCTTGTATGTGAAAGGGGCCTCAGCTACATGGCATAAAGAGGAGGAAGAAGGCATCAGCAGTACGCCGATATGCAGGACCCACTCTTCGCTGCCGCGCAACCACCACCGGTCGTACGTGGGCTAAGGATACTGCGAGGGTCACCCAGTCCCTACGCAAGTCCGAACCCGCGCTCTCGGATTACAAGGCAGGCTTGTGCTCCTTAAGTTTACGGGCCGGCGTACGTCGAATAATCGTTAAATTTTGGCAATTGGCATTCAGCAAATTGGTGTTTGACTCATTCGGTGCTTTTATCATGGCCATGTGAAGGACGAACAACTTCGCGGTGTCGTTAGTGCCGTAATTTGTCCATCATACGAGACCGAGCACAAACCGTGTTCTCCATAGGCTCTGGATTGGTTACGACGGTCGCGGGAAACGGAGCCTGTGCGGTGGATCCGCATCAGTCGATGTATTTGTCTTTTATGGCAACTCATCAGAGTGCTTAGCGGCGGCGAGCCACCAACCGGACCAGTGACCACATGCATACAAGCTACCACTCAGCATTATAGTGCTCATTTATGGAATTCGTTTCTCTTTATGTCATTCAGTAGCGAGACCAGTTCACTGTGTACTTTGTTCTACGGGCCGTGGTACCGGAGCCTGTGACTATGCAGTACTCCCTTTTGATCCGGTATACGTTCGAGTAAATACTTGTGATCATCAATCCTTTGCCAGTGGTAATCGCTCCTCATCGGGGAGACTCACCAACGCATCACAACTGACCGACCCAACTAGGAAACTACTCGAGGTTAGTTTAGTGGTTTCGGATTATGAATGCCCATGCGCACACTCAACCGGTCAACAGCCAATGGTATAAATGAACCGCATTTGTTAACTCGACTACCTAACAGGTAACTGCGAAATTCGACCATAATACAGTTAAAGTTTACAGGAGAGAGGTTATCCCCTGTGACTGCTATCAGTATCGGCGGCAACGGCGTATTTTACGAGTCCCCACATGTTCCTAGCCTGAAATATCCCTATCGGTTTTGTGTGGCACGCTCGTTGCTACTGCGGCCATCGCTATGCGTTTGATACTTATTCCCTGTGACAAGTCCACTATGTTCCATGGGGCACTCACGGTCTTTTTAAACCGGCGCGGTAACGCCCCACACGGTTACGCTCGTTTGAAGTGCATTAAGTAATTCACGTGGTCAAGAGTATGATTTTCCTTACCTTAATTTATTCCCTCACTTGCTCGTTAGTTAGCTCGGTCCTTGATTGACGGCGATTACTTGGAGTACGCTTAGTGTGGTCACTTAATACGCCGACCCTTACCAACGTCAACTAGTGTCATGCGCGCCACGACGATTGCCATTCACATTGACGTTCTCGAAAAATACTCTAACGCGGGCACGCTGTATGTGGCCCGTCATCATTGATAACATGAAGTTCAAATCTCTCATGGGACCGCATGTTTTCTCTGTCAAACCTATAGAACACTTGTGATCTCCTTTGCATACGTGTAAAGTGACTACGTATCACGACGAGGCATCCTGATTTAAGATGCGTGTGTGCCGCTGGAGTTCGGGTAGCCTGATCTGAAAAACACGATTTACAGCTAACCTGTACTGGCATCTGTTGTCGTACCTCCGATCATTGCGTCTCTTTGAAGTCGCCATACGTGTATTGTTATGACACGTAGCGTTCCGCTTCCTCATAACAACAGGACGCAGATTGAACATAGCGTCATCGTACATATCTTGTCAATTAACCGGTTTCTCTAAATAGATGTCTTATTTTGACGCAATGCTCTATATACTCGCCTGAATAGCAAACGCTACCGCCTCAACCACTAGGTGTTTTCACAGACGGACTTCAGTGTTCCGTTAGTCAAGCAACGAGCATTGTAAGGCAAGGCATTGGATAAACAACTACATTATATCACATTTAATAACTTGTCTATAATGGCGACCGACATCCCACCCGGCCCAGACGCTCGAGTTGTTGCTGCTCCGTATTCCTGGTTTCGAATCCGTAGAAGGCACGAGATTAATGCAAGCTACTGACGACTCATCGTCGACACTGGTGTAAATGAGCGGTGCTCATTCGAAGGAGTCGGCGTGAACGAATCTCCTTAAAAATCTGAAGGACAGCTAACAGTTCAGTAGAATTACGTGACGCAATAGATATTCTATTGGGTCATACAGCATATGAGGGGTCGCAAAATGTTTGCTGTAACACACTGTCTAAAATAGTTAACCACTGATATTTACCGTGACCCCTAGGATAAAATCGGAGTCAACTGGTTATCGAGCAGTAACGAGAGCGGGAGTTAACCGCCCACTGCTTCCTCATGTAGGTGGGACTGTCCGATTTAGCGCGGCCCCAGAATTACGACTTCTTTTGCTAGCCTTCACCAATCGAGTTGACATGTAACATGCTAAGGCGATTACTGACTGCCGCTGCCGTCACCCATGACCCAGCAGTATAACTCGCTGGCTCGTCAGAATGAGGTCTTGGGTTCTGATCCGACAGGATCCGGTGGGTGCGCGCTACTGACGAATCCCAATAGAACGAAATGGCTGCCTAGCGCTTTCCTGGATTTGTGATGGCTGTCTGCCTGAGTTTAGGTGCGACAAATCTCAATAAATTTGTATATTTCTCGAAGACCAGACACAGCGTCTTTTAATAACAAGGATGAGGATGACGTGTGATTTGATAATACGAGGACTGATCCATGTGTATCCTTTAGAACGGGTGAAGCAAAGCTGTTCGAATGTATATCAGACACGGCACTTGCCTGTTCACAGCTGAGTACTAAAAGCGGCGGACATTTAATCACCTAACCGCTAGTTCTTCCGTATTAACTTAAACCAAAGTATTTGTTTTCAGCAGAATTCACATTAGTGACGACAAGATGAGTGGTAAATGCGAGTGAAGATTTCATCCGGATGATGTAAGTAGCGGAACTACGTGAGTGTTTGAAAACGCTTGCAAGGGATAATACGACGAGTATGGACTTCA